CCCCCCAAGCGTAATATTACTTTGTTCGCTTATAATGATAAAAAATAATATGACATTTATATCGCGCAAATCCGTAAAACAATCATTGCTCTATGCGCATTGCATAATATTCATGAAAAACATGCATACACACATACATGCACATAATGATATATGTACTAAAAAATAATAGGTGTCACGACATGGTGGGATCAGGCGCTCGTTAGTTTTGATTTTGAGGCATACAGAGTTATTGAATCATCTTAAAGCCTGTACATTTGCCTTCCTTTTGATGAAAACAATATTCATCTATGCTGAATATAAGTCGAAATATCTGTGATTGAAAGAAGTGGGGTCACCTGATTTCAGAGGTAAATTTAGTGAGAAAACAGCCGCCAGAGTTTGATAACTTCAATAGCTTGAGAGCCTTTAAAACTGAAAAACCCCATATTTTGTGCATGTTAAGAACGTTTTTCAGTATGGACGTAAAAGGTGTTTAACGTGAAAAAAAAAATTCAATAAGAGTTCCCAAAACTGGGAAAAAATGCCAGTTTTTTTTCACTTTCATTATTTTGACGAGCGCCTGATTTCACTACGCTGCCTCACAATTATTAGAGTAAATCATTCAAGGAAAATATTACATACACACTCTTTCTTACTAATAGAAAGGAAAATATTGAGACTCATATGTCTATGACAAAAGCGCTTTAATTATTTTTAAAAAACAAGTTACAGTGGAATTCTGATAAAGTCAACACCCCGGACAGAAAAAAGTGTTGACTTTGAGCAAAGTTGACTTTATCCATTGTACTACATGTACTGGCCATTGAAAATTGAAGATGACAGCTACAAAATTACAAAGAACCTGGTAATAAATAAGATGTAATCTCAATTTCAGGGAGTATAATTCTGAAGTTGTCACCAAAACAAGAGATAATGAAAGAACAAAGTACATATGTAATTGGAGGTGTGTACACCGCTTGCTCAGGCGAAATGTCTCTTCTTGAATGAATTCATCTTAGGATTTAGCCCCAAATTGTTGACTTTACGCAAGGTTAACACTCAAGCGGTTGACTGTATGAGAAACACAATTACTTTAAAAAAGAAGGTAAGAAACGGGATGACAGTGAGGTGTTGACTGTAAGCAAGAGTTGACTTTATCAGGATTCCACTGTATCTCTGTTATTACTGATAATTTATGCTGGAAAAAAAAGGGAATTTAGTTATCATCAACAATATAATGCAGAGTTCATCATTGTGTCAAAAATATTTTTTCACCTCACAAATTTGTAATATTACATTAGTTCAAGATCCCCCCCCCCTTTTTTTTTTCTTACACTTTTCTAACAGGAGCCAAAGACACCCCCCCCCCCTCCTAGGCGTAAGATAATATTTGAACAGCCCCCAAGCAACCATTCAACCAACCGACCAACCAGTCGACCAATCAACAACCAACAGACAAACAACTACCGAGTCAATCAATCAACCAGCCAATAAACGAACCAATCAATCAATCAACCAATCAATCAATCAACCAATCAATCAATCAATCAATCAATCAATCAATCAATCAATCTATCTATCTATCTATCTATCTATCTATCTATCTATCGATCGATTGATCGTTTCGATCGATCTGTAAATCAATCAACTACAATGCAACCCCCCACCCTTTCCAAAAAAATAAAAAAAATAAATGAAGAAACCACGGTCATCATAAACAATCAAGGAATACATACGGTAGTCAATTTGAAAAGAATACGTGTAGGCTAGCTACTTGAAAGGCGAAGGAAACCTGCACCCTTGCAGAAAAACGGCCATGCAGATACGCGTACATTGACACTAAACAGATCTACGTCTTTTTGTCTACGAGGAGAAGACTGACAGACAAGTACATATTATAATAATATACATACACACTTACCCACATACACGC